AGTACCACAAACAGCAACATCTGGGGAAACACAACAACAGGGGTTCAGCCCCTGAGGGGTCTCTCGGCAAGGATAGCCTGGAATGAAGATTGCAGTCCAGTGGCGAGTATGAAAAAAAGTGCCTATGGTATGGAGTATATGATGATTGATTCACCACCAACACCGCTTGTTGGTGTTGAATTAGTTCGAGATGAAGACATAGGAGATGCTAATCTCCCATTATTTGAATCTGATGCTGAGGGACACTGATCTAATGATGGATGAATACCTACTTTGCTATTTGGGGCAGTGCTATTTGTTACAAGGCAATGATCAGAGATTTCGCTTCATATGTAACTTCTCACATGCAAGATGAATTCTTGCTGATACACCTAAAGATTTAGTATAGATAGATGATATCGAGTTCTATTCTTACTAAAATTATGGCAGCTACAGCACCTGTCATCAGAATGATTGCCACTAAACACCGCTAATTTCGAGCTAAACTGCACCGGTCCAGGTCGCCCGCCACGCTTCCAATTCAGTTACTGGACCACTCAGATTTGACCCCTCGGATCTCTTCCCCCAAATAACATGGAGCCATTTCCCCTTCACGGCCCGTTGTGTGCCAACCGCTAACCGCCAACGTTGACCATTCGAATCTTAGGCTTTGCCTGAACCTAAGCCAAAACACCCAAGGAAGGACGATCCATCCCTGCTCGTTTCGAGTCAGGGAGCACAGTGAAGGTCGTGCAGTGCAGTGCAGGTGGTGACAGTGACAGTGACAGCAGTGGCAGCACCTGTCATATGTGATCTCAGTGGACTAGCACCTAAGGTAGCCAAACGAAAATCCTCAAGTGCCCTCGGGGCTTTTATACGGAATCCCTTTTCCTTCTCTCTTCAACCCTTTTCCTCAAAATCACCATTTCATATTTCACCTCATCTCTCGTTCAGTCTGAGACCTTCACCGACCGTGCACCAGTTTCTTGGTGCTCCGCCAGAGGTGGCTCTGGTGCTACTATACCCATATTGTACTCCCCTACCCAGGTACTCTCCAGTTGGCAGTACTAACTGTAACTGACCTTCCTGCGGAAAGGTAGCTCTAGTCCCGCGCCGCCCCTCGCTCTCCCCTCCACAGCCCCTGGACTTGACCCTCCCCTGAAACTTGTCCGCCATCTCGACTCCCACCTCAGTCTTGATTCTTTTCACCTCTTCAAGAGTTGTTCACCATCTTGTCGATACGATACAGGGCGAAACGAGGCGATCGAGACGCCGCAATCAGACAAGATGGATCCTAACAACAACAACAATCGCCTCTACCTTAACTTTGGCAATGGCAACGACCGTTTGACCGCCTCGGACAGGGCCGCATATCCCACTACTCCTTCGACCTTCCCGCAGCCCGTTTTCCCTTCAGCTTCAGGTCAACAGCCTGGTGGATTGCAACCCCAAGGCCAACAGCAGCAGCAGCAGCAGCAATATGCTGGTGGTTATGCGCCCCAGGGTTACTTTGCTCAGAACCAATATGCCCAGTATGGCGGCCAGCAACAGCAGCAGTCCAATGACTATGCTCAGGGCGCTGGGTATCAACCACGATCTAATACTCCGGGCACGAACGATCCCAACACAGGTCTCGCTCATCAGTTCTCTCACCAGAACCTCGGAGGTGCTGCTCGAGGGCAAGGTTATGCTCGAGGTCCCTCTCAAGGTCAGCGTCCACGAACCGCTGGCAGTTCAGGGCAGCAGCCTGGCTACAACAGCTACATGAACGCCCCTCCTATGCCTACCCAGGCCTCTGCCCCCGCAGAAGAATTCCAACGTGCACCCGAGCGAAACCCTGATCGATATGGTACAAATGCCAACAGCAACCAAAAGAAGTGTTCTCAGCTCGCCGCCGACTTTTTTAAGGATAGTGTCAAGCGTGCCCGCGAGCGCAACCAAAGGTATGTGCCCACGTGCCTTGGTCTCGTTGATGCCCAGGGAAGTTGCGCAACTAACTCATGATCACTATGCAGACAAAGTGAATTGGAGCAGAAGCTTCAGGACCCCTCACAAGGCGCCGCTAGACGTGAGCAGCTCTGGTCCACTGCTGGCAGAAAAGAAGGCCAGTATCTGCGTTTCCTCCGTACCAAGGACAAGCCCGAAAACTACAACACCGTCAAGATCATCGGAAAAGGTGCCTTTGGAGAGGTCAAGCTTGTGCAGAAGAAGGGAGATGGCAAGGTCTATGCTATGAAGTCTCTGATAAAGACAGAAATGTTCAAGAAGGACCAGCTTGCACACGTTCGATCAGAGCGAGACATTCTCGCAGAGTCCGACAGTCCATGGGTCGTCAAGCTCTATACCACCTTCCAGGACTCATACTTCCTCTACATGCTAATGGAGTTCTTGCCCGGTGGAGATCTAATGACAATGCTTATCAAGTATGAAATTTTCTCGGAGGATATCACTCGCTTTTACATTGCGGAGATTGTTCTGGCTATCGAGGCTGTCCATAAGTTGGGCTTCATCCATCGGTATGTATCACGTTTTCTGCCCCCTGTTTCTCCGAGAACAGCGTCTGACTTTGAAATAGTGATATTAAGCCTGACAACATTCTCCTCGATCGCGGAGGACATGTCAAGCTTACAGATTTTGGCCTGTCGACGGGCTTCCACAGGCTTCATGATAATAACTATTATCAGCAGCTGTTGCAAGGCCGATCGAACAGGCCTCGCGATCGTAACTCGGTTGCGCTTGACCAAATCAACCTGACAGTCAGCAATCGATCCCAGATCAACGACTGGAGACGATCTCGAAGACTTATGGCGTACTCGACCGTCGGAACTCCTGACTACATTGCTCCTGAGATCTTCACTGGCCACGGCTACACCTTCGACTGCGATTGGTGGTCACTCGGCACGATCATGTTCGAGTGTCTGGTCGGCTGGCCTCCTTTCTGCGCTGAAGACAGCCATGACACCTACCGCAAGATTGTCAACTGGAGACAGACTCTGTACTTTCCAGATGATATCACACTGGGTACCGATGCGGAGCATCTTATCCGGAGGTAAGCAATTATCTCGAGAGACTCAAGAGAAACGCAGGTTGCTAACAGAAAGTAGCATGGTCTGTAACACAGAGAACCGTCTCGGCCGTGGTGGTGCCCACGAAATCAAGGGTCATGCTTTCTTCCGTGGTGTAGAGTTTGATAGTCTGCGCCGTATCCGCGCACCCTTCGAGCCTCGCTTGACCTCCAACATTGACACGACGTACTTCCCTACTGATGAAATCGATCAGACTGATAACGCCACTGTCCTCAAGGCACAGGCTATCCAGCAAGGCCACAAGGTTGAAGAGTCTCCAGAGATGAGCTTGCCATTCATCGGCTACACATTCAAGCGATTTGATAACAACTTCCGATAAATGGGTTGAGGTGGCATGGCTTGCGGCATGGTCTCTCCACGAAGCGAACCCAGTTCTGTGAACGGGCGCTGTCGCTGGAAAAGGGGCGGCAACCCGGATGAGTACAATGACGCCGTCTTTCAAGCAGTTATTCATGACATGATAGACAGAGCGAATCCTGTGAGGCTTGCCTTTTTTGTTGAGTCTTTGGCTGTTTCGATGTATGTTTTTGATGATACTATGGTAGCAGGACTGGCTCAGATGGAGGGCATACAAGTCGGTCAGGACGTTTGCTGTCTGCAATTTGCATCGCATTATATGGGACATGTAACAAAACACGAGGTTTCCAGACACTGCTGTACAAGTCAATAATAATATAGAAGTAAAACATATGGATATGTATCGTGATAGTGCATGTATTTGAACTGTGTCATGTCAGACATGCCATCTGAAATCCAGTCTACCATTATCTTAAAGTCTCACTAAGCAGCTGTGCCAGGATCACAGGAGATTGAGTGCTAATCATATATGAATTTTGGCAGCCCCATACACAGCAACAAGGCTCTGTTGTTGTTTGAGACTTGTATGCTTCAGACAGAATTATTGCAAAAACACCGCAACGCCGTCCCAGGACCCGGATATCCTTTTCTTTACTCCCAACATGCAAATAACCATGACCACCAGAGGGTAAATAAATGGGCCATTACCTCCTGGCCGTCAAACCAGGGGCCGCGTTGAAACGTTCCTCACGCTCAGTCATAAACATAACCTGGATCCAATACTCCTTGGCATCCGGATCCCAAAAGGCAAACTGCTTGTCCTCGCGCTTGTCGAGCTCACGGGCTGGAATCTTGAAGCCGACTGTCTCGTAAGGTTCGGCGGCGACGAGTAGGTACTGGAAGTTCTTGTCGGGCTCCTCGACGTGCTGAGTGAAGGCGTTCATGACCTGCCACTTTGGGGATGTTTCGGGGGTCGCATCGGGGTATTGAAGCTGGAAGAGCAGACCCTGCTGGCGAGAGACAGGGTCGCGAATCTTGGTGATCTTGTATCCTGGGCGTCCGATCTTTACGACGTTGCGACGCTGCGCGAAGCCTGCACCTGTGACTCCAATGGGCAGACCAGTAGCTGGGTCAACGGCGCCTTGACGACCTTCCTTTTGCTCACGAGCAGCGCGACGGGCGAGGTTGGTCTGATGTTTCTTGCCCTGCGTATGGGCGAGGTAGGAGCCGTCATTCTGATGAACCGTGAGACAAAGACGACACTCGAAAGAGCCGACGTGGTTCTTGAAGAAGTAGGGGTCCTTGTCGAGGTCAATGGTCTCGAGAGCGAGCTTGCGAAGACGTTCGCGACGGTCGGCGTTGGTGGCGGATTGAGAGGCGACGCCTCCACCACCGAATTTTGAGCCGGCGCGGTTTTGGAAATCCATCGTTGAGATGTTGTGATATGAGGAGTTGTGATGGAGATGAACGGTTGGTTGGCGCGAGGCTGAGAAGGAAAGAAAAGCGCGATTGAAGGTGGAAGCATGGAGTTGTACTGGGAACTAAGATAAAGAATTATGTGGAGAGCATGGCAAAGTGACCGACCAATCAGACACTGAGTATGCACTTGAACAACTTATATCTATTATCTGACAAATACGACGAAGATATTTATTAACCTCTATAATATTTCAATCAAAGCTCTAATAATACGAATTGTAGTTAGATATTAACCAGATTCGCACGCTTAGAAACCCAAGCCTCAACACAACTGACAAACCTATCAAACTCGTCCGTGGGAGTGTTTAGCACCAAAGCAATGAATCCTCTGCGTACGACCCAGAAACCCTCCTCCATCATCTCAAGCCAAAAGAGATCCCTCAGGAAATTAAGTTCTTCGACTTCACCAGATCTTTCAATTACACGAGCGCCATCCTTGGGAAAATGGACTCCCATGATAGTGCCGATACCAGTAAAGAGTACTCTTGTACCCTCTGTTACCGCATTGAGTCGCTCCCTGAGCTCATCACCAGACCTGGTAAATTGAGCTGCAACCTCAGGTGTGTAGATCTTTGTTAGGCCAGCGTAGCCAGCGTGTGTCACCAGAGTGTTGTTGTTGAAAGTGCCTGAATGCGAGAGAGCAGTAGGAAGTCGTGGATCAAAGGCGGCCATGATGTCTGCTCTTCCACCGAAAGCACCAAACGCGAGGCCTCCACCCAGATACTTTCCAAAAGTCTTGAGGTCTGGGTTGAGTCCTCTAATTTCTGAGATGCCCCCTCCTGAGAGGCGGGAAGTCATGACTTCGTCGATGATGAACAAGACGCCAGCCTGAACTTGTGAGTATACAGCATGGAGTAGACAGAGCACGTAAACTTACCTTTTCAGCAATTTCTTGTATGCCCTGAAGAAATTCAGGATGGCCAGGAATGCCACCTCCAGAGCCTTGCATCCCTTCCACTAACACTGCAGCAACACCCTCGCTCTCGATAGCAGCACGAGCGCTATCAAGATCGTTGTATCTGGCCACGACCCAATCATCCAAGTCGACATTATTGGCCTCTGGCTTTCCTCCCTTAAACCCTATCACAGCACCGTGATAGCCTCCAGTGAAAGTGACGACTTTTCTTTTCTTGGTGAAAGCCCTGGCAGCTGCTAGAGCGTGGATGTTGGCTTCAGTACCAGAGTTACAGAAGCGTACTTGTTCCAGATTGAAGCGACTGCAGACTTCACGAGCGAATATCTGCTCTTGAGCTGTATTGCCACCAACGTTCATCCCTACATTGTCAAGTACATCTCGAATAGCCGAGAGAATGACGGGGTTGGAATGTCCATAGAGAGCAGCTGTGAACTCGCCGGTAAAATCTGTATAACTATATGATCTGTAAGCAGAATTACTGGCTGTAAGAGCTTATAAGACTTACGTATGGCCATCCTCAGAAGTAATTTGATGGCCTCTGCCAGACTTGATCACAACAGGGAATGGACTAGCGTGGAGAACAGTTCTGGTGTTTCCGCCAGGCATTGATTTGAGAGCTTCATCATGAAGAGCTTTCGATAGCGGATTACGATCAATGTATCGAGTCGTGGCGGCTTCGAGTTCCGCCTGAATTTGCTGGGTGAGTTCTGAAGACATAGTTGTGGTATTGGCTTGGCTTTCAGTGTAAGTGTGTCCTGATATATGAGAGGACGGGTAGTAAATTATATATGTTGCTTAAGAATTAGTTGTAGTTGATTATCTTATAATTATACAGCTTCCTTCGCGTTTCGGGAACAAGTGATAGCCATATCATGTTGGTATGTACCTAGTATGTTGTGGTAGTCTTCGGGTCTAGGTATGTTATCGGGTTTCGGGTCTGGCTAGTTTCTACCAACTTATTCACAACGATCTAAGATAAGGAACTGCCAGAGTGATCATATAATCAACTAGTTGATGAGTTAAAGAGTGATATCGAAAGTCCTTGAGTTAATTTAGTCCCTTTAATCATGCTTCACAATCACTTGAACTACGATATTTGCCAACACAGACGTATATTATCTAGCCGGTATGTGAGTTTACAGAGGCTAAAATAGACCAAACGGCATCGCGTTGAGACTGAATTGAGATATTCGACTTGTAACTTTATGATATATTTCATCGTTGTCTGTAAATAGCAAGTCAACTTATCAATCTCAGGTTCCGTTGATGCGCCAATAAAATACGTACCTTCCGAAGTGGGGGAAGAAAAGCGGTCTGAAAAATAAAGCGGCAGAATTTGATATCCCACTTAATTTTTCAAACTTTTGGTCGAGGCTATACAAGCGAAGACGAGAACAAGACAAGACAAGACAAGCCGATCATAGTAAAGTCAAGTCAAAAATTTCACAATGGCCGGCTCGATTACCAAGCCCAAGAGTAGGTTGAATCGACATAAAACTCACTTGACTATAGTGTCCCTAATACTAATTCGATCGCTCAGAGCCCAAGTCTAAGCGAACTCCCGTTCGTCTTCGCCACAAGATCGAAAAGGCTTCCGCCGCAAAGCAAAAGAAGGAGCGCAAGTTGGCGAAGAAGAACCCAGAATGGCGATCAAAGTTAAAGAAGGATCCCGGTATCCCCAATCTGTTTCCTTACAAGGAGAAGCTGCTCCAGGAGATTGAGGAGAACCGTCTAAAGAAGGCCGAGGAGGCGCAAAGAAGAAAAGAGATGGCCAAGGCTGCAAAGACGGGCGCTAAGGATGAGGCGGCCATGACTGATGTCCAGGTCAACGTTGGCGACGAGATGGAAGAGGACGGCATGGACGAGGATATCGACGAGTCAAACCCCATGGCTGCGCTTATTGCAAGCGCTCGCGCTGCTGCTGCTACCTATGATCGACAACTCGCTGACGACGATGATATGGACGAGGACGACGATAGCGACGACTCCGACAACGATCGTGGCCCTGAGATGTCCATTGGTCAGGCTTCTTCGAGAAAGACCTATGACAGAGTCTTCAAGCAAGTCGTTGAGCAGGCCGATGTTGTTCTTTATGTCCTCGACGCCCGCGATCCTGAGGGCACCCGCTCTCGCGAGGTTGAGCGCCAGGTTATGGCTGCCGCATCTGGTGGCAAGCGACTGATCCTAGTCATCAACAAGGTCGATCTCATCCCTCCCAAGGTTCTACGAGACTGGCTTATCTACCTGCGACGATACTTCCCTACTCTGCCCCTCCGAGCCTCTGGCGCTGCTCCCAACGCCCACACCTTCAACCACCGCGATCTGACCGTCCAGAGCACCTCTGCCACGCTCTTCAAGGCCCTCAAGAGCTTTGCCGCCAGCCGACAACTCAAGCGTGCTGTCTCTGTTGGTGTTATCGGTTATCCTAACGTGGGTAAGAGCTCTGTTATCAACGCTCTTCTTTCAAGGATGAGCGGTAAGGGCGGTAGCTCTTCCAAGGCTTGCCCTGCTGGTGCCGAGGCTGGTGTTACCACAAGCATTCGCTCTGTCAAGATCGACAGCAAGCTTACTCTTCTCGACTCCCCGGGTGTTGTTTTCCCTTCATCGTCCTCCACCCAATCTGCTGGTCTCGTTTCTCTCAAGAACGCCACTGAGGCTCATGCTCACTTGGTTCTTCTCAACGCTGTCCCTCCCAAGCAGATCGACGATCCTATTCCCGCCGTGACTCTTCTCCTGAAGCGTCTGTCAGCTTCTCCCGATCTTATGCAGAAGCTCACAAACGTCTACGATATCCCTGCCCTTCTCCCTGATCGTGCCGATGGTGATGTCACCACCGACTTCCTCGTTCAAGTCGCCCGCAAGAGAGGCCGTCTTGGTCGTGGCGGTATTCCTAACCTTGCTGCTGCTGCCATGACAGTCGTTACTGACTGGCGAGACGGCCGCATCCAGGGATGGGTTGAGCCTCCTGTTCTAGCTGTCGAGTCAACAACTACCGCCTCCAAGCCGGCTATCAAGAACGCTGGCGAGGACGAGGTTGCTGCTGATCAGAAGCAGATTGTTACTGAATGGGCTGCCGAGTTCAAGCTCGAGGGCCTATGGGGTGACGATGAGGGCAGTGCCGAAGCCGCTGATGCTATGGAACAGTAAAGAAAAGTATTTCAGCGGTTTTGTTCAGCAAAATGACGGAAGGGTTAACATGAGTTCTTCACTGGAAAGTTTGGCGTTTCAAGGATGGCTGGTAGAACGGTTTATATCCGTGCATATACATTCGTAAAAAAACAATTTGTCTTCCCAAAACGCCTAGACTACATGGTTCACCAAGTGACTCGTAGATTAGATATGATACCGTGTACCTCCCGACACAACCTAATTTTTGCCCGTCTATATCTATGCTTCGATTAGCTCCATCTTGACACCGCGTTTGCCCGTCATCTCATCCTTCTCGTCACGGACTCTAACCCTGACTTTTTGGAAAAGCTCCACCTTGATCTCGCGGCTTCCCTTGGTTGTAAGCGTGTATGTCTCTGCGTCGTACTCAGCCTCGGGCTCAGGCTCCGCAAGGTCTCGAAGGCGGATCAGGCCCTCTGTACCAAATCGTGGAACAAGAACGACGAAACCGTTGCTGAAAATCTTCATCACGAACGCGTCTTCCTCAGCAACCTTGCCCTTCAGGGCTTGGCCGACATAGTAGGCGATGCTGGCACGACCAGCCATCTGAGCATTGCGGTGACGCACGTTGATATTTTTACAGACAGCCTCAAGGCGACCCCGGCTGCGGACATTGGGGTGTATGGCCTCGTAGTCGATGGCAGCAGCGAGTTGTCTATGGGCAAGAAGATCGGCGTAACGTCGAATAGGAGAGGTGAAATGAGTGTAGATCTCTGAAGCAAGACCGTAATGGCGGAATTCAGGATAGGCTTGTGTTCCAGAGCAGAAATACTCTGCACTCATCATGCAACGAGTAGCCATGATACGCACAAGGGTGTTGAAAAATGGCTCCTTGGGGTCAACGCACTGATCCAGAGAGTCGGCAAGGGCTTTGCTAGAGTCGGTCCGCAACTCCATGCCACGCTTGGTGCGGAGTTGGTTTGATAGTTCGTCAAAGTTGGTCTTTGGAGGAGCGGCGTGACGACGGAGAATGGCGGTTTGAGGAAATGCTTCATAGATCTTGGCTGCAACGCTAACGTTGGCAAACAACATGAACTCTTCGACAAGAGAGTTTGTATCGAGAAGCTGCTTTGTCTTGACATCGATAGGGTCAGACGTCTCAGATTCAGTTTGCACCTTGACTTCTGGGGAAGAGAGGCTCAGGGCACCAGCATCCATTCGCTTCTGCTTTAATTTCTTGGATAGCATGAGAAGCATGCGCATTCCCTTGGTAAGGTCGTCTTGTTGAGACTCATCGTCGATTCGCAACTGGGCCTGTTCGTAGCTGAAAGCTTCTCGAGATTTGATGACAGATTTGGTGAAGCGAACGTTGACGATATCAGCATTGTCGTCCAGCTCCCAGAGCACAGAGAATGCAAATCGCTCGACATAAGGCTTGAGCGAGCAAAGATCCGTACCGAGAAGAGGAGGAAGCATGTCGATACGCTTGTCGACGAGATAGACTGTGGTACCTCGGATACTGGCTTCAGTATCCATGGCGTTGGCAGGCTTGACAAAGTTGGACACGTCGGCGATGTGAACACCAACTTCATAATTTCCGTTGGGGAGTTGTTTGGCATGGAGAGCATCGTCGATATCCTGGCACCCAACAGGGTCAATACTGCAGATGAGAAGACCTCGGAGATCCTCTCTCTGCCTCCAGCCAGGGTCTTCCATGCTCGCCGGCACTCTCCAGTCGTGTCCCTCTCTGGGAAGGCAGTCCAATACGGTCTTGGGAAAAGGCCGATATTGAACATCCCACTCCAGCAACAGAGCTTCAGTCTCGGCCGATTTGGTCTCCAGCTCACCCAAAGATCGCACAAAATGACCTACAGGATGTCTTGAGTCACGCTCCCAGGCATCAATAGTTACCAACAAGCGTTTGCCAAGGAGCTCAGCAACCTGTCGTGTGCGAAGGCGGATTTTGGGAATCTTCTTGTCCATTGGGATGAGGAAAACGCTATCCTGCTTGCGACCTTGGCTGGAAGCCTTGCTCGCTGACGAAGGGTCGATATGACCAACATACTGACGCCAGTTACGCTTGATAACACCCACAACCTTGGCCGTAGGCTGAGGCTTGCTCTCCGATGCACTCTTCTGGGTCTTCTTGACCTGCTCTTGCAAGGCCTTTCGCTCTTTTTCAGATACGAGATCCTGACTCTCTTCCACATCTGCATTCTCGTTCTTGGTGATGGCGTCCTCCTCAATGATCTTTGTCGAGGGTTCTTTCCACTGCTCTTGGGGAAGAACTTCAACTACCACAACATCACCATCAACGGCTCGGTTGATGTTTTCGCGACCCAATACGAGCAGAGGCTTGGGGAATGCCGGTACTTTGATTGAACCCTCGAGGTAGTTATATGGCGACACGTTGAAGATTCCTTGATGCATCAACCCAGCCTTAACTCCGGTCATCATCCTTGATAGAGTAAAGTATTCAGGGTACAGCATCTGACCCTGCTTCTTAAAAGACTCTTGGTTTTGAGCTTCTGCGACCATATCGAGTAGTCTCTCGCCATCTTCGAGGCTGGTCACATAATCCCGGAGAGAAGATGCATGAAGCCCCTCCTCCTTGGCCTTGCGAAGGTTCTCTCGATCATCGCTAAGCATCACTACTGCTGGGAGCTTTTTCGCCTTTGTCCTGGCAAGATGCTCGCCGTACCACTTAACAGCTAACCGCACAGCCCTGTCATTCCTGTCGTTTACAGTCTCATTTGCCTGACGGTGGACGAATGTCTCGAGCCTAAAGTCGTTAAAAAAGACGTAAAATCTCTTCTCCTCGCTCTTTGTGAGCCCCACTAGACGGTTGTATAGTGGTAATGAACGATTTCGCAGCTCCTCCAGTACTGTTTGCAGGATGATAACATCGTAGAAAGCTGAGCTCTGCTCGAAAAGGTCCATTGCGTTGAGCAACGCGTTAGTATCAGGGACTAGGTAATGGCCCTGGGGGAAAGTCTTGGTGCCTGCTGGCTTGTCCGAGAGCACAAAAGGCTGAGCTGCAATACTCATCAATAAACTAAACAAGTCAGACGAAAGGGGTAGCCTCACCTTGCTGGGCGGCATTTCTAGGGGCATCCTGAAGACAAGCATTGCAGAGCTTGGAAGAGCAGGGGATGTCTGTTCGTAAGTAGACTTCTCTCACGATTTTCTGCACCTTGCCACTCCGAGTTGATCGCACGTAGACCTTGCTCGAGATATTTGAGGCCGGAGAATCTGTCTCGCTGGATCTTTTTAAGCTCGCCATCTTTGACAAGCTGCTTTTCTCGCAACGCGGTGAAGTTTAGAGTAGATAATAATGATGAAAAGACTGTTGATCGCAAAGCGTCCGAGTAGGCGATAGTGGGGCACTTATCGATAAGTCAGCAATTGTTCATTGTTCTTCAAGGTCCTGCGAACAAGGAAGCATCTTGATCGTACGTGGTCTTGGGACTTATTACCTCCTGAAGAAGCGAGAACAAAAGAAGAGTCTCTCTCATTATGTACTGGAAAGTATCTGGTAATTCCAATTACTTCTTTCACTTTCTTAGAAATCTGTGTTTAATAAACGGCTTGTCCTTATCACATGACTGCGAGGTCACGTGCTCTGGACTTCACTTCACTTCGCTTTTCACTCAGTCCTTCAATCTACGAATTACGTTTCATACAAAATTCAATACCCTGAGCACCAGGAGTTTGAAGTTTAAACAAAATAATTTCTTTGGATGCTATTGGAGAGAACATGCGTCGTCCCAGAGGCATGCTGCCAAACTGCAGCTTTCTCCATCTGCCAAACAGACACATGACTTACACATATCCGATCCGACAGTCGCCTGCTATTCTACCTCAGCATCTCTCCACATCATCGAATATCTGACTGGAAATCCTGTGCATCAATTGGACATAAAGGATTATATGGGTCTTACCTCAGTTACACTTAGAACCGCCAGCCCCGAGCCTGCGAGGTCTGGTCAACGAGACATCAAACTTGATGATAGCTTCTGGCATCTTGTATGAGCCAATGATAGAAATATTGTTGCCGTAATGTGGCATAGGGACAAATTCACAGTCTCAAATCCATGCACAAGCTTATGTCATTCTACCCGCCCGCCAGGAAACACTGAGTTCATCTTTTCCAACACGGGCTCAGAGACGTGTCTTTTCTCAAAGCCCGTTACATTGTATTCATTGTCTTGGAGAGCCTCAGCAGGTGGGGGCACTGCCAGCAGCAGCTAGCACTGCATCTGGCCAAGTCCTGTCAGCATGGAGATGAATCAGAGAGCGTCTTGCTGTTACAAGATGAAAATGTGGCCATGCAAGTGCTATAACTCCTTGGGGGTCAGGTTATCGCTTTGTGCGGTGTCAAGACTAGCACTCTTCACCCCCTCACGAACGTCGGATCCCGAGTGGTGTTGGCAAGAGCTTACCAGCAAGATGGCCAAGCACCAAATGCTCACACGGCTTGGAAGCATACAGCTTCTGTATCCTATAGGTCTCGTCAACACCTACAAGGTTTGTTAGGCACAGTGAACTACATCCTCGGATCAATTTTGCAGTCCGAGAGGCGCTGTTCCGCGAAGGTCACAATGCTTTAGCTTCCGGGGGTTGAGTATCATTTTCAGATCTGGGACCTTAAGTAAGGCAGTCCCTTGGGCGCTTTCGTCTCATGAACATCTCTCGAGTTCAAACTCGCCGTTCAATACTGGAAGGATTCTCAGCTGATAATGCACTGGCTGGTTCGGGGAGTCAGAGCCGAGAGATTTGCCTGATGTGACTCGAAGTTAATGTTACAACAATGGCCAAATTTGACAGCCAGCCTCAATATGCAGGCAGCGTCCTGCACCAATGGCAATCTCGCTATGCGTTGTCATGAGAAGCATTGATTCGGAAAGGGATCGACTTGGGAAAGTCTCTTCAGGCTCCCGAGGGTTCACAAGGAGACCGCAGGGCAGCCGAGACCATCAATAGAACCTCTGAATAGATGTGCTTGTTTCGTCATCATTTTATTCTTGCCTCAATCCCTCAGGTATGGAGTCACCCATGATCATGTTGAGTTTACTTCAGCCCGATTGTTGGCCCTGGCCATCGGCAATTTCATTCAAACATCCTCTCTACAACATACAACAAGACTTGATGAGCACAAAACTAT